GGGAGTGCGATTATTTGATTATCGGTATTTATGAGATAAACAACATGGAATTTGTAGGATATGTCCCCTTGATATGTTTCGGTACTTGGATATTAAAGACATTGGCCAGTGCATATAATCTATTAGAGAAACTATCATAGTCAAGGGAATAAATAATTGATTGAGTTACAGAAAACATGTCAATCAATTATAGACATTCTACAAAGGGGTGATGCATATTCGTGTTATAAGTGTTATTAATCTTGGAGTTCAAGTTCGGGCTTTTAGTGGAGTAGCACCGAATTAGATAATCATTCGTTGATTATTAAGAGCCTTGATTAATAACAGATGATAGATCCTCAGGCTAGCTCAAGAAAAGGGATGGAACAATTTCAGTTGACGACGACTAGTGGGATACATGGGACTTGGGTTTTGAGCTCAAGTTTGTACTCAAGAGCAAGTGGGAGATTGTTGGGTTTTGCTCTTTCGCTAAAACCCAATAGGGTCTAGTGTGTAAGAAGAGTCCAAGAAACCTAAAGCTCATTCTGCTTAGGGCTAGGATTTCTTGGAACCCATATATATTCTACAATTATAGTCATCAGCCTCACTAGTCTTCACTTGGTGGTTGCAGAGGCTGAGGTAAGGTCATCTCCCTGAAAGTGAGAGAGTGCCCACACACTTCCTGTTTCCCCTTAAGACATAGTCTGGAAGATCTACCACAGTCCAGCTTCAAGGAGGTTGTTCGTGCTGCGGCGTTGAGTTGAGCAGTTCGTGAAGAGGAATCATACAAGGGAAGATTCTACACGAGATCTGCGCACCAAGAGGTAATCGTGAAACGAGGATGATTCAATAAACATACCAATGTACTAGGTCCTAAACCGCTTACAATAATTCCTACAAGAAGAAGAAGAAGATGAGAGAAAGGACCGGAATTTCTTCTGCCTCCAGGTTATGTTTATTTTCTGGCTTTTCATAACCTGCTGTAACCTGAATAATGAACAGTGGGGACACTGTTCATTCGTAAGTTTGGGGTAGGGAGAAAAATGTTATTGGTGTTATTTTGAGTCAAAAATATTTTATTGCCTTGTTTCCTTTTATTTTGCGTTAGCGCATGCTTCTGCTGATTTTAGTGTAAGTTGTAAACATTACTTTGGGTGTTATTTTTGTTGCTTTAAGATGTATGTTAGGGAAATTTTTGAATTGATGAAACTGTGCTGTGAATATTATCTGATGTTTTTCTGAAATGATAAAAATTTGTTTTGGAATATTATCTGCTTGGCTGAACTGTGAATTGATTCACTGAGTGATGAACCAAGATGAAAACTTTTCTCTTGTGTGAAAAAGGAGAGAAACATGCTTTAATTTAAATTTGCCATGGAAGACAGTAGATAGGCCTGATTGAATGTCACTACGTATGCAACTTTTACTCTCTAAGAGGTTGAGGCATGATTTAGAGGTTACAAATTTCCAAAAGCTTTAATTGATAGTGGAGAGGACTTAGGACTAATGGAATTGAAAGAAGATGACCTTATGCCAACACAAGGGTGACCTCAATAATAACCCATTGTGATTATTAAAATTAGGCCCCTTAATAAATAAGTCTATATATATATATATATATATATATATATATATATATAAACAAGGGACAGGTTATATTTACAAACTTTTTTGTTTACAAACTACATTATGTTCTCTCAGGAGAACACTAATTTCACTTTGTTCTCCCAGGAGAACATAGTGTAATTTGTAAAAAAAATTTAAAAAAATTTGTAAACGGATCATTCCCATGTAAACAAACCAAAAAATGTAAAGGGCTCCGCTGTCTTGAAGGCTTCCTAGTAACCAGGGCCAGTCATGTTACCCATGATTGAGCCTTGATGTCAACAGTAGTCTGAAAGTTATAAGCATGCAAATGCACCTTAGCTTGTTATGCGGACTGAGTAACCGGGTGACTGCATCAATAAATAGGGTCATTCACGTAAAAAGGTCCGATTGACAGCTAAAAAAAAAGTACAAAATAATAATTGTGTCAGTAATAAAGGGGAAGCCATAAGATAAGAGCAATGGAGGTCTAATTGAGAGAACCCAGATTAAACTGAAAGGTAGTTTTCCTTCATTTCTTGGAGTCATGCAACTAAGTCTAATGAATAAAACTCAGTTCTATTAATTATTCGCCCTAATGGTATGGTTTTGGAGGAATGAGTAGACTACTATTGAATGTTGAGCTGAATTGAGAAATAAGTTGCCTAAGAAACTTTAAATTCTATTACTGTTTCACACGTCTTATTTTTATTAGAGCATGTTGAAGAACTATTGCTTGAGTGCTGAATTGACTGATTGTTGAAAGATAATTGCTTGGTTGATAATTTGAAGGCTTGAAATTTAACTCTGATGGATGTTGCATGTTTGAAAAATGAATCTAAAAAGTTTGCATGATTAAGAAACTTACTGATGTTGTTGTCTTTGTTTTGCTGGAGGACTAGCAAAATGTTATTGCATGAGTTGTAGCATTTTTTTCTGGATTTTTCATATTTCCCAACATTTATGAGGACTTTGGCCTGCTTTATATTGTCTCTTAAATGGGCATTTGTATTTGTAAATTTGATCTGAATATGATTAACAAGTTATTGGAAAGGCTCAACGTGAATACACATTGGTTGATGAGGACCAAAAGATTCAGATAAGGTGGAAGGTGGAGCATAGGTGCAGTTATTGTAAAGTTATTTTGAAGTTTTTGGGCAAAGGCAATGGACATTGAAGGTGCATTTTCTTTGGAATAGCTTGAGTTGAAAAAATGCAGCATATCGAAATGGAGCCTCATTTGCATATTCTGCTTCCTGTCCCAGCTCCTTTCATCATTCCTGGGTCACGCTTTCGTGAGCTCTATTACTGGGATTCCTACTAGGTAATTAGGTTTGTTTCTCTTTACTTTCTGTCTTGGTGCCTTTTTACCTTTCTAGATTGTAAGGCAAGAGGATTTGAATTTTTTGTGTGGGTTTGACATTCCTAGAATTAATTTCGCAGTGCGTGTAGAAGTTGCTTCTATTCCTAGTGGTTTTGGCTTTCTTTGTAATTAGAAGCTCACGGATTTGAGTACAGGAAACACTCTCTTTGCAAAAATGAAGGGAGTTGTTTTTATGACTAGAAGTATAATGTGGAATCAATGTCCAGTTACATGATTTAACTTTCTAAGTCATCATATTGTGTATTAGTGTTTTATCTCTGAACTTGAACACTTTTGTGTATTAATTCCTTGCCACAAGACAAGGAATCTTCTTCCAAGCTCTTAATGGCATCGGATGAACAACATTTTTACCATGAACTGGACTCTGCTGCTGAGTCAGGATGGGATTTCAGCACAAGATGGATGATGTACTATTTTTGGATCAACTAAATTTTTCAACAAAATAAAGTTGATGAATGTCAGGGATGGCAACTTATACTCCCAAGCTGGGCACCTAAAACACATGCTAATAAGAAAAACACACATCAACGCAGTTGTTACATGTTGCCTTGTTTGAGAAGTCAAAAAATACTTATTAATTGATGAAATCATGTCATTGCTGCAGAGATCCATCTGATTTCACAACATGGGCTACAACATCTGTGATACCTGTTGATTTAAATGCATTTCTACTTGGGGTATGTCTTGGAACAATGATTACAAGAAGTCCTGAATCATGGTCTTTAACCTGATCAATTCTATGGTTCCCATTGATTTAGATGGAACTTAATATTGCCTGCCTTCTTTGCAAAAGTTATTGGAGATAATAGCACTGCTGAACAATTCCAAGTGTCTGATGTTAGAAAGAAGGCAATAATAAAGTCTAATTTCTGGAATGAAGACATGAAACAATGGCTTGATTACTGGCTCACCAATAGAACATTTGAGGTATTACAGAGTGAAGTTTATGAATCTCCCACAATAGGAGTTGTCATATTCTTTTGCTGCTCTGCTCACTCTCTCTTTGATACTTTTAGGAAGCTCAAGTTTGTGAATCCCTACATCAAAACCAAAATGTATTTGCTTCCAATTTTATTCATTTGTGGATGGAGCCATTTCACTCAGTTATTCCATGTAAATTTTAGTAGCAGGAAATGTTATTTGCACGACCAATCGTTACAATCATTCTGGTATCAGTTTATGAGTCTGATTGTGGTTGTGTTCAATGTAGACTGGTTTTGGCTGGTCGAACGGAGTTGTGTTGGCATTTTTGGAGGAGTTTGGATGGCCTCGAGACTGGAATATACATTTGCTGATATGCTCTGGAAGTGAAAAGATATAGGCTTTAATATTATTGGAACGTTTCACATGATGTTGAGAGAATTTATGAAAGCTATAATTTATGGTGGTTGAAAAGAATTGGTTTGTTGATTGAGTTTTTGATCGGTTCTGAAAGAAAATGCTATCCAATTCAATGTAATGAATTTTCTTATAATATAAATGTATCAGTTTGGTTAAAATGTAAATTTGATATAATCCTAGCTAATTTGAATCGATTTGGTTTGGATTAATTTTTTTGTTTCACTAATTTCATCAAACTATAGAAATTTAATTATTTTTCCAAATATGTTAAATATATGTTCAAAGAATATATTAAATATGAAAGCTTATTTAAATTGTCATTAAGAATATATCTATTCAACTAAGAATAGTTTAAACTAAACATTGAAACTACAATCATATTTCGAACTAGGACATTGGTACAACTTTTTCAGGATCAAGAGCATAACATTATTACGGCTTCATCAAAAAGGTGCAAGCTAGTTAAAATGTATGTCTTGCAGAAGGAGCCTAGTACTAACTTAAAATTTGTCTTCAAGATATTGAAGTGGAAATGGAAGATTTTCTCAGTGTTTTTATTTTTATTTTTATTTTATTTAATTATTTCAGATTTAAAATTTAGAGTTGAGTCAATGTCGTTCGGTGAATACATTCAAAATTGGTAATGTATACCAAATTATAGCCAATCAGCCTGCAAGTCTGCCACTGTTGCATTCTATACCAACGAATGAACAAAAATAGAATAGTGATATAGATTTTTAGTAACTTAACTCCCATACTCATGACTCATTTTCTCGTGTTCGATATAAAAGAACACCATTCATAGCAGAATACATGGGTAAAATATTCCTTTGCCAATAACAACCACAGTTCCAATATTCAAAATCTGACAGATTGTCCCATTATAAATATCTCAATGCTGCCTTTTCAAGTTTTAAAACATTAATCTTCATCTGAACTGCTATCTTCAGAAGTCTTTCCAATGTCATCTGATACATTTTTATCCTGCAGGGAAACAAAACGATGAATGCAAGGTAGCCGAGAAGCATAACAGTAACTTACTACAACTTCAAAAGATACTTACTGGCATTTTGTCCCAATCTTTTAGTTTTGAATTTGTCAGCATATAATTATCTCTTAATGGAGCCCAGGCAGGCTGTTCATCTTCTACCTTGCCTGTGCTTGCATTGGCCTACATAACCAAAAACCAAGCAGTTTGATATTTAAGCAACAGATGGAAGCTACCTCATTAAAGATACATTCGTTACGGTTCATTGAAGGAAAATTAAAACTGTAATAGTGTAGCTAAACAAGGTAGCATTTATCTAAATTACCTTTCTGACCCCTCTAATGAAAAATTAGAAGGCAGTGTTTGAAAAACATTAAAAATCTAAAAAATAAAATGGAAGACCAAATAATAATAATAAAACATCAAATTAAATGCATTTAATATTAAACTATTTTAAAACTCGTAAACTAATAGTTTTAAAGAGAAAATATACAATTATGTATATAAATTTATGAAATAAAATTTATAAAATTTATAAAATTCAAAAAATATTTTTTTCCTTCCGGTTCATCAGAGTTTGTTACTTGCTAATTTGCAGTGGTTATGACCAATTTTTTTTATCAGAATATGGTTTTTGGGGCTGGTAACAATCAAATATGAGCTGGTTTGGACGGGTTAGATTGACAGGTCTGAATTGAGTACTCCAATGAAAAACTAGCACTAAAAGAGAATGCGCAGCAAGAAATCACCTTTGCAGAGGTGCCAACTGCTTGCAATGATGGTTTCCCTAATTCAGAAAAGAAGGCTTCTTTGGTCCGCTTTCTTATCTCTGGCAGTACACACACTAGATAGTTAGATTTGTGCACAAATTATCAACCCCGAATATGTTAGTACCCATAAAAATAAAACAGATAGGAGGTGAACAAAAGAATAAACTGAACAGAGAATTCAGGAATGTATGTACAGTATTACTATCACAAAATAGTTATTATGGATATTTTCTTCAAATTACAGGAAAAACAGAACAAGAAAATAGATAAAAAAAAAAAAAAACAAATGATGATAGCTCAGTTGGCGCATAGGAGCTCTGCGCAGGTGGTGGTAAAAATATGTGTTCGATCCTCCTCAGTACCACCTTTGGGAGAGGTTTAAAACCTTAATTATGGACCCGCCTCGGATCGGACTAGTCGCGAAGCGATGAACTGATTGGAATATTTCCAAAAAAAAAGAAAATAGAAAAAAAGTTACTCCAATTCCCCAGCTTTAAGAGAGGCCTATGCCCATCAAAACCAATTATTCCACATTTTCCCTACCTCTACTCACTCCTGCATTCCTTTTTTATCACTCCCTACCAGTTCTATTAGGATTCCCACAGTCTCTTTCTGCCCATGAAAAACTGACACTAAAAATGTATGTACTATATCGCTATCACAAAATAGTGATTATGGATATTTTCTTGAAAGTACAGGAAAAAGAGAATAAGAAAACAGATAAAAAATGACTCAATCAAGAGATTCAATCCCCAGCTTCAAGAGAGGCCTATGCCCATTCAAAAAACCCTATTCCACATTTTTCCTACCACTCCTCACACCTGCATTCCTCTTTTATCACTCCCCACCAGTTCTGTAGCATTCTCATGAATCAGATTCATTATTTCCTCCTTGGACCACAGCTAACTCCCCTACTGGCCCATTATCTATTACCCAAATGCCCTATTCTTTGCTTCTAGAATTAACATGGGACATGGGCCTAACAGAATAAATAAACATTGTTTTCGTAATGAGTAAACTAACTGAAAACAATAAGTTTGAAATTGGCAATTATCATATTCATTTTCACCAATCTAAACTGTAAGGAAGAAAGTAGGAACTATATGACAGTTCCAGGCACAGTCTCAACTCTCAACTGTACATATTTATTGATGTAAACAGTAAATTAGACCCCAGAACTGCAATAGAATGATAGTTAGCTTAAAACAATAAAAATCAGCTTGTTTAGACTTAGATATGAACCAGATATTTGTAACATAAACTGTTATCAAGTAAAATACATGCCAAGAACATTGTCATATGCAATTTGGAAACATAACAGATATCATTGTAGTCCCAAAATGAATCATGTCAAGTGACCAGGAATAACAAAAAGTACACAAGATCGCAAAGGTTTGTCGGTTTTAGCCCAATCTTGCAGTTTTATGCACATTTATCACCATTGTTGGATGCTATGGTACCATAATTGAGTGAGGAGGATAAGAAGCCACTGAAAGATAGTCCCATTTCTGATGGGATTTTGCCACTTTGAGTGTGGCCTGTTACGGTATACTTTTGTGAAAATTCTATAAATTAGAAAACTGGGAATATTATCAGTCTGTAATGGTTCCTACACTAATGAAAATATTAAAGCAAATTAAGAATTAGCACATGAAATCATGGTTCATGTTAACTGATTATTACATTAAGCATGATTTCATGATTGAGACTTTGGCATGATACTCATCATACAAAAGACAATAACAACTGAGTTCATTTGACTATAAAGAAAAAAAGAAAAATTGCAGATTTGGTATGGAAGTGTCAATTTTCCCACTAGATAATATAAACTTCAACAATTATTCCCCAGAATGAGATTTATTTCTCTTCTTATGATTCAGTTATGCTGCAAATGTACTAGAAATGCTGACATGGATTTATCTTTCTCATGGCTCACTTTTCGTTGTTACAGAAAAAAGAGCTAACCTTTTGCATCCTTAGTCCTTGAGGAGTCCAACCCTCTCTGAGCAGTTTGTGCCTTGTTGACCTGCAGCAGATTTGAACAAAATCTTTGGTTGAATAATAATAAAGATACAAAGCGTCAATGAAACAGACGTAGAAAATCCAGGAAGGAAACCAAAATTAGGCTAAAACGTAAGTACAAACTTACAGCATTGAACAACTTGACCACTGAAAGTAATCCAAAGTGATGCATGATCAAAACAATAGTCCAAATCAGTATGAGGAAAATGCAAGTCACCAAAACGAATAAAGAAGCTATAGACCTCTATTTAAAAAAGAAAAAGAAAAATCAACTCATGTACCTCCTTTTGTAGCAACACTTATTAGAAACTTTTCATGTGTGTCCACATAAGTAGCAGGTTTGACATGACCCTTTTCTGCTAACTGTAACAAGCAATATAAACACTAGTCAGACTGTCTCCCAGGTAGTAAAAGCTTTGGGTGACGAATACTGAAGATACATATAAATCATCAACACTAATGGGATAACATTAAGATCACGGTCAACTCGAAATTCAAAATTACCATCTGCTTTTCCTTTTTTGCCTCTCCCTTGATCTTTCGTTCCACCTCCTCTTCTGCAAGCTTCTCTACAACAAGTTTCTTGTGCCCTGACAATACTGGACCCTACAGATTTATCCAAGTCTTAATAAAAAAAATCACTTTTTTAATGCTCCACATTGTATGATCGCCTAACTTACCAATGTGTCATCAGAAACACTCTTCTTTATAATATTCCTGAAGGCAATCTTGAATGCTCTACAACCTTCAGCGAATTTCGTAATTCCTGGCTGAATTTCACCATCATCTTCTCCTTCATCCTCGGAGAATTGATTATTCATATCAGCAGCATCCTTATTCCGCGGTTTTTGTCCTCCGGCCACTGCTTCATCTTCAGAAGGCTCTTCACTTTCTATGTCATCCCCCTCATTGTTCTTATTCCCCATAGACCCATCAACTTCATCATCGTCTTCATCATCAGAATTATACTCTCGTGCTCGCTTCCGGAAAAGTTTCTTCATTTTTTTGTCTATTTTAACTTTCTTCTGTCCATGTGGTGGTGCCATCACTTTTGGTTTCTTACTTGACTTTTTACGACCTTGATTTTTAGCAAAGTTCCTCTTTCTTGGACCTCTTCCAGGTTCTACCAATTGCATTTCTTCAGCCATGAACTGTTTTATGATTCAACCTATATGTCATAAGTGAAGACAAGTGCATATTTAGAATCAAACATATGTGCCCGATTGCTTCAAATTAAATTTTATGCTACAAAAAATCCAATACCTACTTTTTCGAACGTTTTACAAATTTCAGAAGTGTTAAAGAACTTACCTTCTTCCCGTAACAGAGCACCACCGTCGAATGCTCAGAGTCACTACTGTCGCCGCGCAAACACCGAGACACCGAACCACCTTGACACCGCGAAGTATCCCAGCTGAGCCGTCGTTTTCCCCTCTCACCGATGTGCCACTGTCACAAGCATTCCTGTCGTCGCGATTTTTTTTTTAAAATTTGTGGCTTTGTCTTTCTTCGAATTTCAAGGGGTTGGCTAGAAAATAGGGTTTCAATTGGGTTTAGGGTTTAGGTCTTTTTACCAACGTAGATGAATATTTTTTAAAATAAAAAGGAGAGATTTTTTTTTTTTTTTAAATATAGGGTTTAGGCTTTCAACGAGCAAGTTAGCTAGCTGCACCATAAAATAACTGAGAAAACAAAATTACAATTTTGTATTTTGGGTATAATTTAAGCTATATTTATTCAATTGATGTGATTTTTATCTCGTTGAAAACATTAAAAAAAGAAATTTATAACTTCTATGAATAACACGAGATTCAAATCCATTATCTTAAATACTAAAAATTGTATGGAAGATAGCTTTAGAGTGATTTTCACTAAATGATTACTTCTTATTTATCACTTTAATTCCTTTTAGTTTAACTATTGCTTCAATTTAACAATTTAAACCTGAAACTAATATATTTTTAAGCTAGTATCGTGTTCTATCATAAAAACTCAAGAATCTTTTGTATTTGACAATATATATTGTATTCTTGACTAATTACAATAATATTTATCTTTTTTTTTGCCACTTAACAACCATTAATTTAGATATCATCCAATGGTGCAAAAATGGTAGAAAAGATAGTAAAACTAAATTGGTAGGGAATATAAGTTGATCCGATAAATAATTAATGAAAAAAAGTGTATTTTGTCGACTAAAATCATAATATTCAAACAAATCAATAATATTATGTCAAATGATAGCCTCGTAATATAATGCACACACATACAAAGAAAGGTATTTTAAAAAAAAAATTATTTTTTTAGGATATGAAAAAATTACAACCTAAAAATAACAATTGGTGGAAAAAGTAAAGAAAACAGAAAAAGAGAAATACACATGTTAAATAGGATAGAAAGAACAATGAAAGTATTTATCATAAACTGCGTTACAATGCCCCATATCATAAAAACGTAAAACTGAAAATTGAAGACTTTGTTATAAATAATATTGTAGATGTCTATAACTCCCAAAGAAACAATGTGTAACTTTTGTAACTTCTAATATGTAATTAGGAGAATTCAATATTATCATTTATGTTATTGTAACTCGTTATAGTAGAAGGTCTATAATAGAGACCACATATAGCTCTTGTATAAAGTGTATGAGAATACAGTAGAAAAGTTGATTTATGCTCTTTTCTTTTCTCTGTTTCTATCTTTATAATTCTTCAAGTTTTCTATTATTTCATAACACTTTATTAGCACGAGCTCTACCTATCAACTGAAAAGACATTTAATTGGCCAATACCCACCAACCAACCCTGAAACTTGAACAAGCTACTCCCACTCTGTTTGATTACTGTTTTTAAAAAATAGTTTTTCAATTTTCAGAACAAAAAAACTTGTTTGGTAAGATCTGTTTTGTAAAAAAAAAATTAAAAACTGTAACTAATCTTTTGTTTTTAGAATCAAAATTAGAGAACATGTCTGAATTGTTTTTGTTTTCTGTTTTGGTTTTCAACTTTCAAAACAAAAAAACACAGAAAACAATTGTTTCCGTAATTATTTATTTATTTATTTTGTTTCTCCGATTTTTTATTTTCTTTTTCAACAAACTTGAATCGTAGGTGACTAACCATGTCTTTCTTTGACACATTTGCCATCGACAACCACCATTTTGCCACTGCTAAAGCTGCTAACGACACCTACTTTGGCTATGGCGGCTACTTCTGTTTCCTTGGCAAAGATGCCCTCGTCGATCACTACGGGTTCAGCGATCCAAATTCGAGCTACAGCTTTGGACAACCTCGAGTTGTGACTTTATGGAATATTTGCAATACGATGAACGGGTCAGAAGAGGTATTCTTCCATTCAAAGGTTCGATTTGTCTCTTTATTAGTTTTTCCATTTTGTGTGCATCTGGATTCTTGAGTTTTTGTCATAATGGTGAGTTAAGAAAGCAAAAATCGATAGTAGCAGAGGAAACCAATGCTCTTGCCGGTGTTAAAAATGAGAGAAATAATCATGGGTTGTCACCAAAATTCAAGCTTTACGTAATTGCTTTATCTGATTTTGATTAATATTGTAAAGTTTGGCGCGTTGTGATTATTCTTAATTCATGGTTGGTTACTGTGACAATCTCTTCAAACAAGGTTTTTTTTTGTATACACTTCGAAGAAGAAGTTAACCATTTCTTTATGGGAAAACTATTCTTCTATCACGTAACTTTTTTTTCTATACACCTTTCGATAATTGTATTACTTTTTTTTTTCATGTGGTAGAGCACACAAATTTATCTCTATGACATGAGATAACTTATCTTCTTTAATATGAGATTAATAAAATCCTTACTTTATATGTCCATTTCTTCCTCACCACATCACTGTTGTCCTTATAGTCAAAGCTGATTTGATTTGACATTGAAATTGATTTTGTCTTGAAAATTGATTTGATTTTGTTCAGTGATGATTGAGCCTGCAAATTTGGTTAAATTATTGTTAGTTATTGTTTTTGACTATTGGACTTTAAAGTTTGTAGATTTAGTTTTCAAATTCCAAAATTTCTTCGTTTCAAGATTGCAATATTTAAAAGACTTTTGAAATTTAATATAATATTATATTTATCTACACACAACCCACAAAGTTCCATATTCATTTCAAGATTGCAATATTTAAAAGACTTTCGAAATTTAATATAATATTATATTTATCTACACACAACCCACAAAGTTCCATACAACTTTCTTGCCGTATAACTTTAGCTATGATTCTTTCATTCTTTTGGATTCTTTTCTTGGCTAATTATATTGTGGGACCCATGCAAATTCTATTTAGTAACTTTGTCTTTAAAAACTAGAATTGTCAGGAACTACAAGGAAAAATGAAATTGCGTTTTTGCAATATATCATTATGGGTTTTATTATTCTCCTTCAACATAAGATAGATATCTTATGTTGTAGAGATAAAATGATTGGGTCCCACCATTACAAGAAAAAAAAAGATAAGGTACGAAAATCGAAGTGAAAGAGTAGGAGAGAAGTAATCTTATGAAAAAGAGTAATATTTTCCTGTCATTATTGAATAGAAAAGCACAAAAGCATAATACGAACTTCTTATCCTACATCTAATATTAATTATTTATAGTGGAGATTTTTTTTATATAATATGTTTATTTGTTTGATATAATTTCTTATGTAAAATGATTCAGCCTTAATTTATTATAGTTGTTTTGATATTTGTCCAACAATAAGGTCAAGTTTTTGATTTGATCCAGCTGTAATTTATTTTACCTTTTTACATTGCTATTAATTTTATCAAACTAATATTATTAAAAAAATCTCCACTATAAATAATTAATATTAGATGTAGGATAAGAAGTTTATTTGTTTGATATAATATCTTATGTAAAATGATTCAGCCTTAATTTATTTATAGTTGTTTTGATATTTATCCAAAAATAAGGTTGATCGAGCTATAATTTATTTTACCTTTTTATATTGTTATTAATTTTATGTTAAAATACAGTTATAAACCATTTGCCATCAACCAAATTTAATTTTTGAAATGAATGAGAAACCGTTGGAGCAATTAATGCATTCAAATGAAAAATTTATGAGTTTAACTGTTTTATTTTGTGTGTCATACATTTTATTTCCATTCTTCTAATTGAATGCAAATAAAGATAATGATGATGTGCAAATAAATGAATACTTTTATTTAAAATTTATCGTTAATTAAATAACGTTACAATTTTTTCATGGTTAAATGCTATTCAATAATTTAATGCATAAATTTGTGAGTTGGCACGGTTATGCGCATATATATATATATATATATATATATATATATATATATATATATATATATATATTAAATTAGGTAATAATGATTATTGTAACTAAACATTATAATTGTGATTGAATAAACAAAATACATGTAATGAATTATTATGGTTCTTTAAAGCATGACGTTGATTATAGTATGAATTATTTCTGTTTTGAATCATTATGAATATTCATATTTATTATATTGTTTTTCCATATCTGATTGACACATGCACCTATTCTTGTATTGCCTAATTTTTCTAAATCTTTTGAGATTGAATGTGATGCATCTAATGTGGGGATAGGGGCTGTTTTGATGCAAGAGGGGTATCCCATTGCCTATTTTAGTGAAAAACTGAATGGGGCTGCTCTTAATTATTCCACATATGATAAGGAATTGTATGCATTGGTAAGGGCATTGCAAACATGGCAACACTATCTCTTGCCCAAAGAGTTTGTCATCAACAGTGACCATGAGTCCTTAAAGTACTTAAAAGGACAAGGCAAGCTTAACAAAAGGCATGCCAAATGGGTAGAGTTCTTGGAGCAGTTTCCCTATGTGATCAAGCACAAGAAAGGTAAGTCTAATGTAGTTGCAGATGCACTTTCAAGAAGGTATAGACTTTGCACAAATCTATAAAACTTGTGTGGATGCTGCTCAAAATGAATTTTTTAGGCATAATGATTACTTGTTTAAAGAAAAGAGATTGTGTGTTCCTAAAGGTTCCATTAGGGAATTACTTGTGAAAGAGGCACATGCGGGGGGATTAATGGGACATTTTGGAATCCAAAAGACTCTAGACATGCTGCATGAACATTTTTATTGGCCACACATGAAACGTTATGTACATAAATTGTGTGAAAGATGCATTGTATGTAAGCAGTCTAAGTCTAAATTATTGCCTCATGGGTTGTATACTCCTTTACCTATTCCAGATTGCCCTTGGATTGATATTTCTATGGATTTTGTGTTAGGACTACCTCGGTCTAAAAATGGTAAAGATTCTGTTTTTGTTGTGGTGGACAGGTTTTCTAAGATGGCACATTTCATTCCGTGCAAAAAGGTTGATGATGCAATCCATATTGCTGATTTGTTCTTCAAGGAAGTGGTAAGACTCCATGGGCTTCCAAGAAGCATTGTCTCTGATCGTGATACTAAATTCTTAAGCCATTTTTGGAGGACATTATGGAGTAAGTTGGGGACTAAACTTCTCTTTTCTACTACTTGTCATCCACAAACTGATGGCCA